ATGTACATCCAATAATGGTCTTCAGCAGTAAGTAGGATTTTGGTCTCCTCCGGGTTCTGGATTATAAAACTAGCAGACAAGCCTTAAGGGGTTGGGCTGTTAGGTATCTCCATAAATAACAGACAGCTGTATAATTGAGGCTGCCTGTAGTCCTTCCTGAATGATCTAGTAATTCTGGGATACTACCACCTATAAATCCAGGAGTGTGCAAATAAGATGGAGGAAGGAATATCAGAGAGTCCAGCAGTTCAGGAGGAGGCCTAGTGGAAAACTGAACAGAAAATCTGTGTTGAGGGATAAAATACTGACCAGTCGCAGCTTCTTTAGAATTGGGTGTTCCCGCAAAGAGTGATCCAGCATGTATTGCCAGAGAGGACTGCTTTTCCCAATAATACTCTTGGATGATTTGGGTGTCCCAAAAACTAAAGAAGGGTATCTTTTGCCTACAAGAAAATAAGGAATAATAAGAACTTTTATGTTTGTCAGTTATTGCCTGCTTAAATAAAGCAAGCACTTAAGTATTACTAAATGTTAAAGAGTTCCTTGCTTTGAAAAATCCACTGAAAACGGGAAATGCAATGTAGCTGGACAGCTCAATGGACTATAGTTTTTTTTTTTTTCCCTTCTTTTTAACCTCTAAGGTCCATCCCCAAGGCTGAAAGGGAAAGGCCGTGGTGTTCAGTGGCCTATGTGAAGATTACAAGCTGTCATATTCTTACAGGAGAAGTAACCACATCAAAACTCAAAGAGCAAGTATAAAGAGAGAAGCATGAATGAGGCACTCTATTTTCTTCATCTGAGGACCTTGTTTTGCAGATGGACAGAGATTGCTGGTCTTTATGGCTGTCAGCTGATGCATTTTCTCAAGCCCTGTGTTCTCCTAATGACAGTGTCCTGCCCTATAGCCAGGGGAAGTCTGGCATTGCTCAATGGCTTGTTTAGCATGAAACCAGTGTGCAAAAAAAGTAGGTGCTGCAAGCTGAAGTTTCAGGACTACTGCTTGTCTATCTAAATACACAACTGATCTCAGCTTTGATGCCCAATGCTTCTTTTACCAAATGGAGCAAATATTTGAAAGAAAGAACAACAAAAAATTCAGTTCCACATTTCCTGATAGTTGTTTGCTATTAAAGAACGCTTATTTTGAGGTTTTTATTTATTTTCTGTTAATGGCTCTATTTTACAGACGATCACCCTGAGGCTGAGGTTATTTCAGCAACTTGCCTGAAGTCAAAGGGTAAGTAAGAAAGCGGCTGCGTTACAAACCCAACACGAGCCTCCTCCTTCCCCTGCCTGATCCTGGGCTGGCTCCTCCTCCGACCCCGGGGAATGGAAGCGAAACTGAGACCAGAAGAGAAAGCTGCGACCAGCGGCGCGTCCTGCCTGGCCAAGGAACAGCGGGCGGGGGCCGGGCGGGGAGCCTGCCCTCGCCTTGGCCGGGACCTTGGCCCCGGCCCCACGCTGCAGCAGCTGGATTACAGGGAGCGGCTTGGGCTCTAATAGCATCAGTC